GTGTGTGTGTGTGTGTGTGTGTATAAAACCACTTGTAAAATGATACAATAGTTTTTGTCACTTCCTAGATAACTTTTATTGAAGACTCCTCCTGCACTGAAGGAATTTACCAATCTTACTTTCAGTGTTTGTTTTTTCTTAGATTATGTGTCCCTCCCTCATGACGCTCAAGCTAGCTAGCAGTTATGGGTTTAACTTAGTTTGTTTTTGAATTATCTTAGATTCTGCGTTATTGGCTCCTGTAAACACCATCATATCTGTGACAAGAGCCCGAGACAAAACAAGCCTATATCTCTGTATAGTTATTTTAAAGCAATTTGATCCCTGTCAGGCCTTTGTTGTCATTTTGTCCAATCCAAAGGTGATACGTGTTTGTGCTTTTTTTCCCCCCCCTCTCCCATTCTCTAGCCCCCACCTCCTGGACACCCCCCTAACGCAGCTCAGCTGGCTGCCATGCAGAATGCCAATGTTGTAATGTCACAGCGCAAGAACAACTACTTTCTGGGTGGATCCAGTGGAGGTTATACAATCTGGTAACAGCAAGTCTTCGACTCCTCTCTCATGCCTCAACCGTGTCCCTGTCCCAAACTATGCCCGAGTTCCTCTCCCCTCCCCCCCTCCCCCCCTCCCATACGCCTCCCTCTTCAGGCTGCTTGGCCATGCCACAATACTGATTTCACCTAACGGAATGTAATATTTTAGCGCCCTTGTGAAAGGTACAGTACTCCACTTCCTACCTAGAGATCAAATGATGAATGACACTGCCGGGAGAGGACACATGAAATTTTTTAAATGTTGTAGAATTCATTCCAAAACTTTTCATTGGGTCTAAAGTCTTTGGTCAATCCAAATTGAACCTCTTCCAGGCATCAGATTTTTTTTCTCTCCAGAGACCAGGTCTCCTTTTATCAGATGTATCCCAAACGACATTGAGATGTCCTTGTATTCCTGTAAAGCTACGTAAATGAAATGTTGAAATATCCGACCTGCATTCTGTAGTTTAGCTGCTTTATAGTGTAAGTGAAATGCAGTTACAAAGTTGCAGTTAAAGCGCAGAAAAAAAAAATCTTCACTTGTCTTTCTTTGGAAACTTTTAGTGTAGTTAAATTAATAGATGTGTAATAGTTCCGTGTAAATACAAGTATGAGAATGGAAATCTCAACTATCCGACAAAAAAAAAGAAAAAGAAGAAGCATCCTGGATGCGTTTAGCTAGAACTGTCTTGTCCTTTGCACAGAATCCAAAAGACCACTGGATATATTCTTGCACGGTGACGTTTACTTATCCGACAGATCATTACATTAAAATCACTTGTAAATTAAATCGGTTCAAACAAACAATTAAAGAAAAGATTTCATGCAATATCTAAAGTGGTTTACTGTACCTTGTTGGGCAACTTGTAGATGAACATAGTCAAGTGCCAAAGAGCACTGGGGGTAGCCCTAATTTAAAGCAAATTAACTTCAGTAAACTTAAAGGAAAGAATTTAAAAGTAAATCCAAAAAGTACGATGAACGGGAAGGGGTGGTTGGTGTAACATTTTGAGCTTTTATTTTGTTTTTTTTGTTTTTTTCAAAGTCGGATACCCAGAGTTTATACACTAAATGTTTTATTGTACACGTTTCATGAACTACCTTCCTTTGTTCTCACTTTGTCTTTCCACACAGGTTATTTTTCATCAAACCTACTTAATAAATACTTAAAAGTATTTAATCGCTGTAGAGAAATAAAAGCTCGTCTTTGTGATAGCATTAGTATGAAGTCCATTTTCACAGCTTGAGGATACTCTCTTAAATATATTCCATTTCATTCCTTTGGTAACTTCATTCCTGTTCCATGTTGAAGTGATCTTGAGTAGTTCGGCTTTGTATAACCAATGAGCTGGTTGTACCAAAGATTTGGTCTCTGATGCACTTGAGTTTGGTTGTAACATGAAATAAAATTTTAAAAAAAAGGTCACAATGGAAAAGCAAACATATCATCCAATAAGCAGTTATGAGAGTGTTGGTGACAAACCTTCAGTCTGTTTGGCATGACTGCGATTGTTAGTACACGTGTTGTTTCCACTTAATGTGGGTTTTTTTTTTTTTTTGCAACTTTGAAGTAGTTGTATACTTTTGCACCTTTTGCTATGTACACATTTGATTCAATCTTTTTTTTTTATCTGAGATGCACTGCTAAGCAAATGTGAGTGGTTGCACACACAACGGGCTACTTCTTTATTTAATTTTTCTTTAGTAGCTCTGTTTTCATGACTTTTTAAAGTAAGCTGTGAGATTTTTTTTGAAACACTTTTCGATTCTTAAATTCATCAAGTGTAGACGCGTCGTTTTCTGTAGCCTGAAATTGTTTGCAATGAGGTGAATATTACTGTCGGCATAATAGTTGTTTTTTTAAGGCAACAAAAAAAAAAAGCACTCTTTTTGAATCATTACTTCGTCTATACGTTATTTTTTGCAAATACTTAAAGATGGTATCTGAACTTTGGGAAGTCCGAGTAGATACCAGTAAGGTATTTGTAGATGTTCTTCATTTTGGTGTCTGGTAGCGTTGATGTTTCACTGGGTATCCGACACACCACATATCGAGTTTTAACAGCTGTGGCCACCTGAGAGCGGACAGTGTCACAGCCAACCCACATTGAGCCATTTCAGTGTTATTGGAAAAGAACGGCTGTGTGAAAACGCACTCATTCCAGTTAGTTAACCTCAAACACAAAAACATGACTGATATGTCGCTCAAAGGAGTGGGGGGGGGTTTCCATTTACGATCTCTACAAACTCTCATTGATTTCCTGGTGAAGGGGGCCACAGCTATCAAAGCTTCTAAAATATGATTCAAACATGTTTTTTTTTTTTTTTTTTTAAATTTCCATCTCTGCTCTGATTGTTTGTAAAGCAGCATAATGGTGGCTTTGTCCCAGCAATATGAAGTACTGTAAAAAAAAAAAAAAGAAAAAAAAAACTACAGCTGACCAGTAGATGCTATGCCAACCACAGCCAGCAAATGGATCGCCCTTTGTTGAAGGATAATGGACGTTTATAGTTCAGGGATTCTCTTTACAATATTTTGTAAAAAAAAACACACAAAAAAATAGATGTATGTACTAAAGTGATGTGACTGACTTTGGTACACGTTCTATCTTTTAAGATTACTAAAGGAGATGAGTGTCAAAGATGGAGTACTTTGAGAAAAAAAGAACTTAGGTGCACTTAACTTTTTTATACTAAACTTAAAATTTAAAATGTAAGTTTAGAATAAAGGTTATTTTGGAAATTTGAAACTTTGCATGTTTGTTTACTTGTAACCACATACACTTAGAACTTGTATTTCTTTGGTTATTGTGATGTTGTGATTTAAGCTTTCATGTTGTCTTTTCCTGGCCAACCTGCAACAAAAAGGTAGCTGACTTTTTACTGGATCGTTTAAGAGGATGCTTCTACCTGCTTGGCCATCGAACCAACATCACAAATGATTTCGTTTTGTCGGAAATCATCCCCCCCCCCACCTTAGTTTAGTATATGTATACTGTATAAAAACCAATAGCTACTTTGATATAAACGTTATTGAGTCACTTGTGGATCTGTATTTTTGTCAAAAATCACCCACATTACACAGGGTTGCCTAAATATTGTTGTTAACACGGCTGCATTTCAACCTAAAAGCCCGCCAATGAAATCACTCACGTCTTAATGACGCTTTGAAACTTCAGTTTGTTCCAGGGTCGGGATGTTTAGCGTCTATGGTTACCATCAGAGGGTGTGTGAATTATATTCTACCAGCTAATGAAGCTCTCTCAATCAGCTTAACAAAAACTGAATACAAGTAGAGCTACAGGTTTGATTTGAGTAGTTCACTAATGATGAGTTTCAATATTGAGTCCTTGAGCAACTCTTTTAAAACTGTAGTTCTTATTTCAGCGTCTTCTTTTTGAATATTGTGTTTTCTTTGAGAGTGTGTATGTATGAGTATTTTTTATTCAGCCATCATACATGATACAATAACTTAATATAGACGGTTCAAACTTAGTCAACGGTCATGTTTAAAGTAGTGACTGGAAAGGCAAACTGCTTATAAAGCTCATCCTATTACTGATGACTGAATAACTTTTATGATGTTTGGATGACTTCAGGGCTCACTGACTGTTTTTAGAATTTTTTCCATCTAAACAAAATGGTATGAAGTGATTGCTGCAGCCTAACATTATAATTTCAGGGGGTGTCTGTTCAGCTCTGTGGTTGAACCGGATGTGGGACTGAACATGGTTCTTATTCTCAATGACGGCATGAAAAAGCCCAAAATCATAGTAAAAAGATATATTGTAACTTTTGTTTGGGATGTTTGAAACTATAGGGGTAACTAACGTACTCACACCAGTGTGCAGAATCCATCCATCCATCCATCTGGAGTCGTGGAGGGCTGGAGCAGCTGTCATTGGGCGAGAGGTGGAGGACACCCTGGACTGATCGCCAGTCAGGGCTATATGTCAGTGCTGACATATAGAGACAAGCAGCCACACTCACTTTCACACCTACAGGCAATTTTAGAATCACTAATTGGCCGGAGTACCCAGCGAGAACCCACACATGCAGAGGGGGGGGGAACATGCAGACTCCACACAGAGGCTCCTGTCTGACGAGGACTCGAAACCAGGAACCTCCTCGTGGTGAGACGACAGCGCTAACCACTGCACCACCACGTGTGGCAGATCCTCTAAAATAAGTAATGTCACTCATTGAACATGAAATTCAGACTCAGATTAGAGGTTGTGAGTAAATCTTCAAAGTGTCGTAACTATTGGCTGCCAATTCATGAAGTAAGTCGTTAACATGATCAGACGTGACAGAGAGCAGCAATCGCCACCTCTGAGGAGCTGAAACCTGCAAATGTTTGGATCTTCTTGGGGTGAGAATGACAGAAACTGATGTCAATCCACATGGTAGATTGTTTTTCTTTAGCTCTAATAATAACATTAAACATCACTGAACACAGACACATTGTTTGATGACACTGGTACAAAAACAAGTTTATTGCCTTCCTTATTTCTCTCAAACAGGGAAGTCATCAGTAACAGTGTTTGGAGAGGAGTATTACAAAACAAAACCAGTAACAACAAAACTTCATAACCAATCATACTTAGCCACTCTCCATTGAAAAAGAATGACGTTGTTGTTTTTTGAAAAGCTTATAAAAAAGAACTGCATAGAAAAACTTTCATTTAAAAGCATATCAAAAAGTAACTATTTCCCCAAAACAAACTTTTAGACGTTGTGTTTGGAGTCAAATACAGTAAATCTGAAAAACAAATGAACCATGACTGATAAATAATGTAGCATAAATGAGCTAGTCTTACGTTCTGATTGATACTGATCATGTCAGTGACATTTAAAAAAAAAACCTGACCAACTGTTTCACGCCTCGCTCTGCTAATATGAACACACCTGTTGGCCTGCCACCTGCTCCTCATCCGTCATACATTCCCTCCATCTAGAACAATCTTTGGTATAGCTTCTTGTGCGCCTCAGCGTCTGTCAGGACAAAACTCCTCAACAAGGTTTTCTCTCTGCAGCCTTCATAAAAACAAAAACACACAAACGGGGAAAAAAAACCATCTAGTTCTTCTCAGTCCTCTGCAGACTTTTTCCAATTCTTTTTTTTGGGGCTCTTTTGGAAATCTTCACCGGGTTTATATGAAATATTCCTTCTTTTCGCTCACAGCCTGGTTGCTGTGATCCTCGTCAGGGTCCTCTCCTGGAGCCAGCTCCCCCGTCGTCCTGTAGTCTCCTTTGTTATGGCAGAGATACCGGTAAAGCAGGAAGGCCAAAGCTGCTACCGTCAGCAGGATGAGGACTATCACTACTGCGGAAATAAGAAAAATACAGCTTTATTTATAAAGCCGTTTTGGAGAGATTTTCCCTTCACGCGGGTGGCATGATTTTTACAATAAGGTACAAAGAGTTACCTGTGATAACTGCAGAGTCTGGACCCATCGGTTCTGCTGCTGTCGTCATCACTGAGGGGCAAAAGGTTAAACAAGTAAGATTAGTTTCACAACACTCAGGCGCGGTTCTAGAACAAAACGACTTAGGGTGCTTCTGAGATTATGCAACAGCAGTGAACAACAGCGTAGGTGTTATGGGTGTTTTTGAGGGTGCGGAAATGTATACCAGGGGTGCAATGAAACCGTTTGCACCCTCGTAGAAGAGGGCCTGACCGCACCATCGACAGAGAAGATGAAGATTTTGTTTTACTGTACAGGATTAGTGTAAAGGAGAACTTTCTCAGAACTGTGTGGGTCCAGGAGGAGACTGATTTTTGTGTGTGTGCCGGTTTTAGAAAACATGAAAACCAAAAAAGAAAGAAAAAAGAAAGTGTAGGAGTTACC